GTATAATAGTAATTTGGTCACTATCCTTTCTTTTTTTTCCTCTAGTCTGTTTTATCTAAACAAAAATAACTATCCTTTCTCTTCTTTTTTTTTCTGTCTATCCAAATACGAATTAAAATTATTACTATGTTTCATTTTCTTTTCTTTTCTCTCATAACTAATATTATTCTTTCTTTTCTTTTTTTTTCTATCTATCCAAACACATCCTAAAGGCACTGAGTGATATTTTCCCATTTGAAGATATGGTGGCCACCGACCCACCAAAAAGGTCGGTTTGACTATAGGGTAGACTTACGGCATTTTCTTGAAGCATTAAATTTTGGTCACTTTGTTGCATTTTGAACCAATGACTATTGTTCCGTTTGAACTTTATTAACCCACCAAAAAGCATGCATATTTTTCTGCCATCCCAGAAACACAAACACAGAAAGAAATCATAGAAAAGAGGACAGGTTACTTCCGTAACAAAATTGATTTTTTTTTTGAGGAAAAAGCATGGTCGTGCTTTGGGAAAATAAGAGGGAATCGTAATTATGTTATATAGAATCTTTAAAAGTAAAGAAATATTTAAATTTTTATATAGGTATAGAATATGTCCCCGATATTTTTTATTGAATATATATTTAAAAAATATATTCAATCATTCAATTATATTATTGTATATTATTGCTTTAGAATGAATTAAATATCTATATTGAATATTATTATATTAGATAAAAACACGACTTCACCATAGAAAATAAAATAAAATAAAATTAATAATTAGCAATGTCCATGTATCTTTTTGTTTAAAGATTTGACATTTCTGACTCAAGAATATATATTCATATTCAACATACGTACCCGAATTCATATAACATAAATAGGACTGAAGCAATTACTAATATAGGCAGCAACATCCACAAAAAAACTAATTCTTACAACTAATTTCATTATCCCAAAGGAAGTTGATATTAAAAATACTAACAGTAAAACTTAATTTTTTGTAATAATAAAAGGAAAATAAATAAAATAATAAAAGAAAACAAGAAATTGAGGAAAATATTACTATCAGCATAATCTATTTATCACACTCATTGAACTGAAATTTAAATTGGAATTATTTTATTTTAATAAACAATGGACACAGAGTCACTTAACAAACAAAATCATATCAAAAGGTGTAAAGTGCAAAAAATTTCCCTCGAATCGGAATTTTCAAATAACTCTATTGAAATATATTTTGTGCATAAAACTTACTAAACTATCATATTTAATTACAAAATACCTCAATGCCTTGATTATATTTCATTAAATAGTCATAATGCCCTTTCTTATTGAATTACACTCAATCTATTTTTCTTATTAAAAAAAAAAATTATACTAATTTGATAATATATTCTCCATTAAATTTACCTTTAATTTTGAAAATTACTTTTAAAATAAAAATCTCAAGTAGAAAATTTAAAATATTTTAAGTCATTTATTAATTTTTCATGAATATATTGCATAAAAAAGTATGCATTTTTTATTTAGGTAATTTATTAATTTTTCTTAAATATATTATATGAAAATAAGATATTAGTTATAGTAAAAAAGTTTATTGTGAGTATAATAAGTTTTATTATAAAAAATTAAGTGTTAATAATAAGTTATTCATTTTAGAAAATGATACTTACAAATATATTTATTTATTTTATCATTTTTTTTTTGATAAATTGATACTAATAATATAATTAAGATAAACGGTATAATTAATATTTAGATAAGAGAAAAGATAATAAAAATAGTTTAATAAGAAACGACAAATATAATTAAAAAGGGTAAAATAGTGTTTTGTAAGAGCATCTCCAAGTATATATTTTTGTGTAAATCTAATGTGTCAGAGTAGATTTACACAAAAATTTTGTACTACCTATTTTTAGCTCCAACGGTTATTTTATACCTTTTGTGTAAAAAAATATCACACAATAACAATTAACCATGTCATACCCAAAGTTTTACATAACTTTTACAAACTTATTTGATTCATTTACTTTTTTGTAATTAAACCTCACGTTCCAATCCTCCTCAATTAGAAAAATAATAATAATTTTCCCCTATACACTTTCTACATAACCAAAAATATACAAAAAAAACAATTGGGATTGAATTGACTAATCACCAAAAAAGAAAAAAAATTAATAATTTGTATATCGGTATCAAACAACAATTATATTAAAATAAATATCTAATATTTGGCTAGTACATATTTATCTAGTTAGAATATAATGTAAAAAGATAAAAATCTAAAAAAACCCTAGAATCTAGTACGAAAATTACGGAAGATAAGATGAAACGAAAGTGATGAATCAAACTATTTTTATTAAAAAAGAAAAAAGAAAAATAAAAGATGGTCGAACAGTTTTTACCTTACCGCCAGTTGCAGATTTTCTCTATATCGCTCTAAAAGTGGAAAACAAAGAGGCCTAAAGGAATGAGAGAGAAGAAAGAGAACTGCGAGTGGAAACGGAGAAGGAGAGAGAAAATATGCTTATGTGGCTGTGTAATGGGCAGACGGATCTTAACTCCATCATTCCATCTCATTCGATCTCTTCTTTCAACATTTACTTTTGTTATCTAACTCAACTTCAAAGCTTACCAAAAAATATATACGTTTTAAATAGTTATTTTGGTTAAAAGAAAAACAAATGACTTTTTGTTAACATATTTTTTTAACCATTGCGTATCTAACTATGACAACTCTGGGGAAAGGTCAAAAAAAAAAAACCAATAGACTCCTCTTCAAAAAATTATATACATTAACGATAATTTTCAAGCATCGGTGGTTAAGATGTCTCTTGTCAAGAATTGTCTATCGTCTAAATATACCTATAGAGTCCTATATTTTAAGATTTCAGAAAAAAAAAAAAAAAAAAAAAGAAAAAAAAACAAAATCCATGTTCTCTTTTCCTACAAAAATGTTATTATATCCTTAAGTCTATTGCTTATAGAAATTTTTCTCAATTGCTATACTTTTTAATATATAATAATAAATTTTTCAGGTGATAAAAGTTTTTGTTAGCGTGCTGCCCAACTCTTCCTTTAAAACGATTCTCAGGTTCTTCTCCTTTTTTTAACTTTCCTTTACATTGTTATCTCCAATTTTAATATAAGAAATATTTGTTTATCTTAAAATGGTTTGTAATTTTTAACCATTAAGATGTCTGTCATTTTTAACCATTAAGATGTATGTCGTCTATATATGACCACAGAGTCCCATATTTTAAGATTTTAATAAAAATAAAAATAAAAAAAGAAAGTGCATGTGTGAAAATATTATTCTATTTTCAAGTCTATACGCATATAGAATTCTGTATATGGTCTATATATGCCTAGAGAGTCCCATATTTTAAGAAGAAAAAAAGACTGCACAATTGTTATTCTATTTTCCAGTCTACCACCTATAAAAGTCTTTGTCAAATATACTTCTTTATATAATAATTAGTTGTCATCAAAATTGGGATGCCGTGAACTCTTCATTTGAAACAACTCTTCATTTGAAACAATTCCATGGTTTCTACGTTCTTCTCTCCTCCACACACACATATATATGTAAAAATGAAGTAAAAGACTCATTCATGTTCTTCTCTTTGAAAAAATTATTCTATTTTCAAGTTTCATATTGATACAATACTTCTTTTTATAATATATTTTTTTAAAGTGGATAAAAGTTGTTATTACCAAGTAAGAAAAATATTTTCAATACAATAATTGAGACTAAATGATCACCACCATTCGGTACAATTCAACAAAAAATATTAAATACCGATTAAAAATTACTTTTCTAGTAAAAGTAGTCATTGTGATTAAATGTAATTTTAAGTTATTTTTATTAGTTAGTCAATGTTTCTATGATAAAAAATATCAATGTTTCTATGATGAAAAATATTTTCTCCTTCATTTTTTTTTGAGATATAATAATATATAAAATATTAATTATTTACGTACAATACACTACACGTGATCATTTTCTAATATATATATATATAATATTAACGGTAGACAAACAACAGTCGGTAAAAATACTCCGTAGATTAGAACCCTCATTGAAGACTTTTCATTGAAAATACTCCGTAAATAGGTTCCATTGGTTTGTATATATATACACACTGTTATACGCAAAAGTATTTACGGTAAGCAATTCTTTACCTTTAGAAAAATATGGATGATTAATATTTTTACTCTTAAATATGAATAAAATATAAAATTAGAAATATAGAATTGGAGATTCAAGAGAGAGATGCTATTCACTTTCTTTCAAAAGGTATAAAACTCAATATACAATACGGATATATGATATGTACATGTTATCAACGTTTTACAAGCCAATCATAACTTCTCAAAACATAGAAACATTTAAATGAGCAGGTTGTATTGATGACATGTATCACCAATTTATTAAATATTACAACGTAATGATAGAATCTAAGTCATACAATCTTGCTTAACAAGTGTTTCTGCGATCTCGCTCAAATTCTAATTACACTTAATTTTGCCGCTCTCTCTCTCTCTCTCGTTCCCGCTCCCGCTGCCGCATTATGTGACTTAGGATAGGACTTAAAAAAATAAAAATTACTTATTTAACATGACATAATTGATTAATGTCATAAATAACAAAGTATTAAAAGTGAAAAAAAGTAATTTTGCTCGAATCATACCTCACCATTTCATTACTATCAATTGCATTCGCGGCACGGTACTATTTATTGCATTAAATTAATGATCGGTGAATATTGAACCAATGATATGAAGAAAGCATCTTTCAGAAATTAGTATTTCATCAAGGACCATACACGTCTATTCATCTCATCTCTTATTGGCAACCGGTCGGTGTTAAAAAAAATAAAGTTTATGATTCTTTCATTTTCATTCTAGAAGTACCGGCTACCTCATTAATTCAGAAAAAACACACAATCTGTAGTGGTATTCCACACATACGCGTGCTTAATTCCATCTCCAGAGACCTGCCTTACCTAAACCAACAATGCCTATATATATCAACTCAAATTTTCTTACAACCTACATTCAATCTCATTGCCTTTACTAGTTACTACCACGATGACTTCTCAAATTGCCACAACAGATGTTCCTTTTGCTCATGAGTTGCCAACTAATGGCGATTATTACAAAAAAGGGGTCAAGTACCTTACTGATATGTTGCCCAACTTAACCAAGCTGCCTTCACAATATGTTTTGCCATTAACCACTAATCCATTAGCAGTCAACAATGCTTCAATCCCTATCATCGATTTAAGTGGTCTCAATGGACCCGCTGAGTCTAGAAAGATTACTATTCAGGCCATCGACTCTGCCTGTGCCGAGTGGGGAATCTTCAGAGTAATTTTTTCTCTTTTTCAAACTTTACTGATGAATTGAAAAAATCTTTTCTGACTTTGATCAAAGAAGTGTGTTAATATTACATTAATATACAGGTTGTTAACCACGGGATAAAGATCTCTCTAATGGAGGAAATGGTGGAGGTGGTAGAAGGATTTTTCAATCTCTCTTTGGGAGAGAAGATGAAATATGCTTCGGACGATGTGATGAATCCACCTGTAAGGTATGGAACCAGCGTCATTACATCCACAAACAATGCTCTCCACTGGAGGGACTATTTGAGGCTTCGTTGCCGTCCTTTACATAGCAGCGCTACCATTCATCTTTGGCCCACCAATCCCTCTAACTACAGGTAACTAAATTTTTTTTTTGGATCTCTAAATGAACCATATTTTTTTTTTTATCAATTTCATTAATCCAAATTAATCTGTGAATTAAAGGAATATAGCGAAGGAATATATAGAGGAGGTATGGAAGTTACGAGCGAAGATAGCAAGTGCAATATCAGAAGGCTTAGGACTTGAATCTGATTACATAGAGAAATCGCTTGGAGAAGGTATTCAGATCGTTGGTTGTAATTATTACCCGCCATGTCCAGAGCCACACCGAACACTTGGGATACCACCACATTCTGATCATGGTGAGCTAACAGTTTTGATGCAAAATGATGTGGATGGCTTACAAGTTCAACATCACGACGAGTGGGTTGCTGTTGGACACGTGCCAGGGACTTTTGTCGTTAACATAGGAGATTACATGGAGGTAATTAGTGTTTTATCTGCTTCTTCTGATTTAACAAAATATATTTGTATTATCATTTTGGCTTGGTTTACTAATACTAGAATTTGGACTAAGCTGTTTAAATTCGTCTAAAAATCATATTTTTGTGATGTTAGATTTTGAGCAATGGAAAGTACAAAACTTTGAAGCATCGAGGTGTGACAAATGCAGAAAGAGCGAGGATATCAATAGCCGTGGGCAATGGGCCTGGGCTGACGACCACAGTTGCACCTGCAAGCCCACTGATAGATGGAAAAAGTGAGATCAAATATCGACACGCTACGTATGAAGACTACATCAAATTTAAACAAAACGGGACGCTAGGAGGAGAAAGCCCATTACAAGCCATGATTGTCCCACAAGTCAACAAATGAAGTGTTTTTTTTTTTTTTTTATTCCATTACATCTTTTTCTTCTTGATTTGATGATCTTGTGCGGAGTTTTTTTTGGGTGTCAGAGCATGTTATGGTTGTAGCTTTGGAGTTGTTACCTTGATGATTGTCTGATCTTTGAGTCACTTCAGTTTGCTACGTTTATCCTATGGTAATTATTGTTTGTGTTTTTATTTCTTTTTGTTGCTTCTTATTGTTTCCCGTACATTATAAAGGCAAGTCATATATATACTGCTACTAAGCCTACTATTAGAATTATCATTCTTCTTCTATGTGTTTTTTTTTTTTAGAGGTAAATGAGTTAGGCTAAAATCAAAGCAATACAAACTAAGCCCAGCCCACACAAAAGCCCACCAGGAATTCAAGTCATCATCAATCAACATGGCCCAAAGGAACGTTGCTCTGGTCACGAACCAGAGCACCATTCATTTGAGGAGGAGGAGGAGGATCGATCTTGGTGAAGGACGCCGGGAGTTCCCGCACTCTGACAGCAGCCACCGAGGATTTCCACTTAGTAGTCAACAATAAATTGATTTTCCTAATATATGAAGACCAACCGAATCATATTATACGTTAATATTAAAACTAATCTAATTAGAATATTGATGGAGAGAGACTTAACGACACTGCTCAAGGGTTTGAAGTCCATATGATTCGCACTTATTATATGAGATCAAGAAAATATAAATATTCTTACTAGAGCGTGGCATACATGTATCGAATATGTGTCGGATATGGAGATTCTCATGGTGAACCTTCTAACTTTGATACAACTTATTATGACAATAGCTAGAAGTTCATGCCCATCCAGATTCGATCAACTATAAATAATAATTAATACACATCCCCCATATTTAATGTAGTTGAATAAACTCACTTGCGTCTACAAATGAAAACAAAGGATTTTGTAGAGAATTGTCACTTAGGCTTGTTTGTTTGGACGTAAAATATTTTTCAGAAAATATTTTTTTATTTTTTAGTATTTGGTTGTCATGAAAATATTTTTTTATTTTTTAGTATTTGGTTGTCGTAAAATATTTACGAAAAAAAAGAATATTAAAATTTAACAAAAATAATTTATTTATAAATTTTTGACAAGTTATTTTACATACCCCGACCGATGGACTCGACCTCAACCTTGATGTAAACCTTTGTCAAACACTTACAAAGTAAAAATAAAATAATATTTTACCTAAAAATATATATATTTTTTAAAAAATATATTTTACGTCGAAACAAACAGAGCCATACTCTATTTAACCATTAATATACGAGTTCTTAATTAATATACTAGCTTGTACTCTATCCAGAATTTTAAATATATATTTTTAGAATTATGGATACTTTTTTATATATATTTTAAAAACATAACATATATTTTTAAAAATCATTACATTAAGCAATGACTTACATGTTTTAAAAATATAGATTAAAACATATAGATATATTTGGCACAATGACTTACTAATTACTTTACTAATTACATATTATAATTACTAATTACTTTAATGCCCAACAAATCATTACATTAAGCAATGACTTACATGTTTTAAAATTATAAGAGATTTTACTATTTTTAATTAGTCTCCGATTAAATAATAATTTGCTTGTAAAAAATATTTTAGGTCGAAATAAACGGAGCCTTAGTCTATTTAACCATTAATATACGAGTTCTTAATTAGTCTACTAGCTTGTACTCTATCCAAAATTTATAAAGTTTGCTCATGATTCCTTCTAACATAACTGGCACATATTGTTTGAAATTTGTGAAAAATTAACCCGAAAAGACATTATTTTGTAGGAAACAAAATGAACATGAAATATTGGTTAAATCATCAAAGTTGATTGGTCTGCAATCAGATCGATCTTCCTTACACAATTTATCCATATTTGATGTGATTCAAGATAATATCTTATTTTGCATATGATGTAACAAGTGAATGATAAATAAACTAAAAAGGAACATTTATAGGATAATGATTAGTCCCGTTATGTTATATGATGCAAAATATTAGGCACTAAAAAAGAAATACATATCAATGTGGCGGAAATACAATGGTAAGATGATTGTTAGAATAAGATGGGATTAATAAGAATTAAAAAAAAAAAAAAGGCGTGGAAAAATAATAGAGTAGTCTTAGGTGATATGAGCATATTTAACTTTATCTATAAATGCACATGTGAGGAGAGAATTAGAGAGGGTATAACCTAAGTCACATAAAGCGAGAGCGGGAGCGCGAAAACGGCAAAATTAAATATATATATTCTCCCCCTTCACATGTGGTATTTTTTTAGTCCAACACGTTTTTTCGGTTTTAAGTATCAGAATCATGATAAAGTTTGAACTTGAGATCATTAGCTCTAATACTACATTAGCGTTTTTTTTTTTTTTTTTTTTTTTTTTTTTTTTTTTCTTAGTTGGTATACTCACACACACATGTCTCCACTGAGACTCGAATCCTTGATCTCACTTTGGAAGGATAGGGCTTGATACCGCTAGGTCACTGACATGTTAGTCGATACCATATTAATTTACTACCATCTACTCTTAAAACTTAAGAATTAATATAGTTTTAAAGCATACGAGGTCTTGTGTTATTTAACCAAAAAAATGTGTTCAAACCTAAACGTTACCTTACTATTCAAATTGAAACACATGTTGGACCAAAAGAATGCCACATGTAAAGGGATGTGTTAAAGAATTTAAATATTAAAAATACACCGTCTCTAATGGTTTAAACTAACTTTTAGAGTATATAATGATTAAAAGAGAGGAAGATTGATTTTTATAGAGGGGAAGAGGCAAAGAGACCGACTGTAGATAACATAGAATGAAGTGAATAGAAATAATTTCAAAAATTAAATCTAGTAGAATATATGCATACAAAAGAAAATGATGGAGAGATACCCATTTATACGGGATAAAGGTAAGGATGATGATGATTTTTATGTACCTTCGGTTTGGCTGGTTAGAAAGATTGTGCACCAATGCTACCATGTGTGATATCCCTAATTTTCAAGCGTGGGTTGATCAAGTCCGCACCCGAATACTGGGGGATATCAAACAATTAATAATAAATATGCACGGCATACAAAATGATAAATAAGAATAGATAATAAAATGATGAACAAAAACAAAAATCTAAATAAAAAAATAATAAATCATCCACTAATAAACCTCTAACAAAATCCATAATAGAAATAAACCTCCAAATGTATACAACTCGGGAATTCATAAATCAAGGACCCCTAAATAATTCCATAATTGAAATAATAAATATCTAAGTCTAAATAATAAAGAAATAAATAAAATCCTACGTCGAAATAATCGAAAGAGTGATGAAGATTGTCTCTGATCAGCAACAAACTCAACCCTATGACTGAAATGAAGAAGACTTGAAAAATGATAACAAAGTGTAGGTTAGACCAACGAATAAGCCTTCTCTACTACAACCCAATCAGAGAATCGAAAAACAATCCATCTCTAACTAAAACTCATATAATAACTATATAGTTGTACATATATATACACATTAATAGATTGTCACCAATGCATACGGAGACTTAACCGGAATAAACGACGACCACTCATAAACTCACACAAGGCAGTCAAGTGTCCCGAAGTCCTACCCGAAAGACAATGTCCTATATATGCAATATATCTCCGGCAATATACGTCTCAGTCCTAAACACTAATCCCGAAATTACAATTGGTATCAGGTCACATACATATATAATATCAACATTATAGTCATATCTAATAATGGCACAATATAAGTGATTCTAAACTTATTAGCCAGCTCATCTACTCATCACCAAATATCAAAGCCATATCTAACAATGGCACAATATATATGAGACTCAGCTTATTAGCCAACTCACATAAATCCACCTCATACATTCATCAATTGAATTCATATAACATCATCAAACATAAGCACGATTAATATGATACATACTTGATAAAAATAACTGATTAAAATCATTCGTTACAACACATTACACAATCCATCTTGATTAGTATCAATTATCACAACACATAAACGAAGATTTAACTCAAGTTAATTAATGTCTGTTTTGAGCCCCATTCCTGCAGCGCGACTGATCGCACAAGGGGTCGGTACCGTTCGCGACTCCATACTTAGAAGATTTTTTTTAAAACTCTAAATTACATGTTTTAGGTACCATCGTTCGCGTCAAGGGCTCGACCAATCACGTTGATAACGCGATCGATCGCGCTCTCCACGCTACCAGTTGCGTTCGTCTTGAACACGATATCTGTTGCATGCGACTTTGGGTTTCAGATCTAATTTCGCCCGATTTGGAGTTCTAATGATGCAAATCATGCCCAGCAATTGATAATACGAATCTAAACAATAACACCAAGATTAATAAAGCAAAATCAAGCCTTATGAACACAAACACACACACACACACACACATAGATACAGACTTATATATACATACACATATATATCCAACAACATTTATATACATACACTTATATATAAATTCGAAATCACCATTACACATGCATAGATTTATATCTAAAATTATAGATGTACAAATACACCTATTGATTTGAAAACATAGATACACATATACACATATATAATCAAATTTCATGCATTTACATCTATGTCTAATCATGTATTAATATTCAATTATTAAAGTTCCGCAAGAATGAAAAGTTTATAAATTCAAAGGAGAAGAATAGAATAGTGACTTGCCTTAAGTTTCCGTCACGAAAACGATATTGAAAGCCCTCCGAATCTTCTTCTCCAACTCTGGTAGCCATAGATTAGTTGCTTTGTCTTCTCCCTCTTTGCCTCCCAATTCTCTCTATCTCTTAATTATACATACGATACTAACTCTAATAAAAATGATCTTAAATAAATAAATATAATATATATATATATTAATATAATCATAAAATCAAATCAAATAAAATGCATATAATATATGATATGGGCTTTAATATACTACATGGGTTTTAATATACTTTGGCTTTAATACCAATACAACCCAACAAGCCCTCTAAATAAGCTAAACTCAAATCCTATGGTCCAATGATACTATAACACAACCCATTGAAAAACTAAAATAAGGATAATTCTTTAATTTGAAAACTGAAATTAATAAAATACCTTAAGACAAAAAAAAAAATTTAAAA